TTCTTTTTCAAAAAGATCTTTCCCAAGCGGACCCGTAGCAGCTTCGTTAACTGGTTGGTCATTAAAGGAGCTGTCACAAGGAAATATGTGAACCAAAGGGAGCATAAGACATCCTGGTCAACATAAGAAGCATATCAAAGTAGTGATCTAGACATGAAGATCTCATTAGACGGCGATATATGTGTTGGCAAGATAAATTATTGTCAATCCTTCCATTAGAAACCACTCAGATTTGAATGAGGCCAAATTATATCACCGAATATGTCAATGTAGTCTGGAAAAAGAAAAAAAAAAAAAAAAAAAAAAAAAAAAAAAAAAAAAACCACTAGTATCATATCAAGCAAGAGGCCGCACCCACCCAATATAAACGCGAACAACCTCAGGTGTATTCAGAACTTTCCCAAGCGACCACATTAATGCTCCATAAACCCTCATCAACTGAAATGCTCAAAAGAGTTTAATTACATTCACTGTGCCCATGTATTTCAGCCGGTGAAATGGTAAAACCAGAGTAAATTATAATAACAATAGTAATAAAAGTAAAGATAACAAGTTACTTGTTGCGTGTCCACTTGGTCTGCCTTGTTCAAGACTACTCGAATCTTGTCATCATGCCCACGTAATGATGCTATGACCCGCTTGAATTCATCACTAATATCGAGTTTATGGGGATCAAATAAAAGTAGAATAAGATCGGACTTCGCAGCAAACCACGATGTTACAGCTGTAAACTCATAAGCTCGCTGTGTTCGTTGCTTTTCTCCGGACAAAACTCCAGGAGTATCCACAAACGTAAAATGTTCTAGCAGCTTCATAAAAAAGAACAGTTTAAGGCCATGAAAAGAGTATGCAAATAAATATTCATGCAGTAACAGAATGTATTCTTACAGCATGTGGCATTTGTGAACACTCAAATTTTGATAGAAAAGAAGTTCCAAATGTTGTGAGCCCATTAAATGGCATGTCTGCTTGGACGGCAACTGTATTTCCAGGAATGCTTCTTTCATCAGGTCCAGACTAAAAAGGAGAAAATAACAAAGAATTAGGTTTGAAGCACCAAAATCATTTATTCTTTAGAAGATTATGAATTGAAAAAAAAAAGAGTAAAAAATCCACATGTATCTTTGAGGTTCAGAAAATTTTCAGAATTTAACCAAGAAAGCATGAATGAAGTACTTAAAATAGAATTTGGTTTTTCCCCCTTCTAAGAAACAAAGGACACATAAAGATGCAACCAGCAGATGCAGATGACCACATTGAAGAAGCTATTATCATTTAAAATTATCATTTTTCAAATAAAAAATAGCATGGGTCATGAAGACAAAGCCAGATAGTATCTTCAAACTAAATATAAACAATCAACTTTGCATAAAAAGTGTGAATACAATTGAAGTAACAGCAATACGTTCTACAGATTGGAATCTGAAAAAAATAGATTGCGGAGTTGACTGAAATTACTAGCCTGGCTAACTATATGAAAATACAAGATTTTATTTCCTCGATCATTCCAGTCAAGCCAACATATTCCCCCTCAGGGGAAGAGCCTATTTGTAAAAAGAATAAGCACTTACCATAACAACAACAAATCTGTCAGTTGTAGGTTCTGGTCCAATATGGGCTCCTGTTAAAAGTGGAAAAATGAGCGACAATGTTAAAACAAGATCAGACGTACTGAAATCTCACGTTTTCTCTCTCCCTCACTCCCCTTCTCTATCTCTCAAACACACGAACTTTGTCTTCAATTAATAAAAGTAGGGGGAAAAATAGGTGTGGGTGGGGCGAGGGGAAGAGGGAGCTATAGATCAGCCCATCCCTTTCTCTCTCATTCATGAAACCTCATACCTAGGACAACTACTTTTGGGAAAGTACTTTATAACTGTCAGCATAAAAAATACAATATCTCACCTGGATAACTGCTTCTCAGCATATGCTTGATAAACGTCGTTTTGCCAGTCGAGTATTGACCCAAAAGCATAACCATTGGTTTAGCATCAAAGTCACTATTTGTCTGAGTCGTAGGGCAGGCCGACATAATTATAAAACCACATTGTAAACCATGGTCCACCATACCATGAATATTAAATAAAAAGCATACATATAGTTTTAAGAGAGAGAGAGTCTCTATGACACATGTAATGAAATATAAAATTAAGATGCAAAAGCATACATTATACTCACCAGTAATGGAGAAACAAAATCATTAAACCGATAAGTAACTTCTAAGGGCTTCAGCTTCTGAATGTACAGTCTCTTCAAACCATCAATGATTGATGTAACGGAAGAAAGAGGTACCTGAAACAGCATTTTGGAGAGGGAGTCATAACCAAGGCGAGAATGACTGCAGTAAACAACTGCTACATATATGACAACATGATAAACATAAAACAAATGAAATGTTCATGATAACGAACTTTTTTAGATGACTTCGCTGAAAACCAATTAGCTAAAGCAGGAGACTGCCATTTAGAAGTACCTGCATAGTCATCATCAATTGCCAAGTTAAAAAGGGATAGTAAAGGCATAAAGCAGCCTCCTTTCATTACTTGAAAAGATATAGGTACTACCCTTTGTCTCGTGGTCATTTGATTTCTGTTTACGGGCTCTCTTCTGTTTGAAAGAAAAATGAAAAAGTTAGAACTTTCAACAGGATTACCAAAGGTGTGCCTTCCTACTCCTCAGTCCTAAAGTCAGAACAAGCCCCACCCAACCAAAACTCAAAATTTGATTGACCCAACCAAAACTCAAAATTTGATTGACCCAACCTGGCCCAGTCTATCTATTTATTGGACAGGATACAGATGAATCTATTAGAGCGCTACTTTTAAGGTGTTAAACAAGTGAGAAAGAAACATAGGCCACAACTTAATTGGAGTCAATTTTTCGTGAAAAAAAAAATGTTGTAGTGGTTGCATAACAGAATGCTATGAATGAGGGGGCTACGAGTCACCAAGCAGACTATTTTGAGGGGTGACTGGGTGAGGAGCCGCCAACAAGGTACTCTTTGCATGGATGATATTATTTCAAAGGTAAACTAGTCCTACCTATGGACATTCCATTATTGTCATTAAAATTTTTCAATCCTCTTTAACACTGGGATATGGAGGTGGGACATGACGCGTTTTACAGACTTATCAGAGGTTGGCAAAAGAAGTATATTGCAAAGGAATGCACAAATAAATTTGTTTAAGAGCGCGCAAGTTATTTGCAAATAAATTGAGTTATTAGCCTTGGCTCCAGCGGGTTCGCTTCAACCTTTACTAATTCCATATAATACTTCAGAAGGCATTTCGATAAATTTTGTGAGCTGAAGGTTAACCCGAGTCTGAAAGGTATGATTCAACTTTGGTTGTAGGGGATTGTTGGTCAAAGTTCATTCACTCATCTTAATGCAACATCCTTTTACAACTATTATTTGAACAACAAGCTTAAAATGCGTCTCATTTTCGAAAAAAGGCACTCTTAGTGAAAGAAAATCCTGTACCTCATTGCCATGTACCTTTTCTTTTTTTACTTTTGAACAAATAATTTGAGAAGTATTCTCCAAAAAATCCTAATTTAACTTTTCTTTCCTTTGGTTTAGTTGTTTTCCATGCAAATACTAAAGATGTGTCAATACATGATGATGAGGGCAAATCCTCAAATGGCTGGTCACTAATACATTTCAAAGGAAACCTCTCAAATTTGAGGGGGTTGGATGGCTCTTTCTTACTTGAGTAGATTAGATGGTTTTTCCATTTTGAGAATAAGAATGTATGGAATTGGTATTTGAAGTATGTTTCTTTTTGTCGCCCCTGGCTAAAGGCCTAGACACTCATTTGGGCTTGCTGCCTAGTTGGTGTACAAGGGAGAGGATGCATAAACACAGGCCATCCCTTTTTGTGGTTATCTTTTCTCAACTATTTGGCAGAAGCTTAGGTGTTTTTTTGGTTGTCCTTCTGTCAACCCTGGCACCTTAGGAAATTTCTGATTTCCTTAAATGAAGTCTTGATTTGTTGCCTTTAAAAATAAAGCAAAGTGTTGTAGTTTACGTTTTAAGTGTTTTTTTTTTGGAGCTCATGGCTAGTAAAGAAATGGAAAATTTTTCAAGGGAGTAAAATCTCTAGATGTTTCTATAGTGGTTGAATGTGCTATATTACGGTCATGCTCGTCCAGGGCATGTTGCTTATGGCCGCATGCCCATGCCATGCCATGCCAAACCCTTTTACTTGCTTTCATGTTGTATTACTTTTTTATTACATTTTCTAGTGTATAACTATTCAGCGAAACCATATCTACCCCGGTTAGACATGAATCATCTCAAAATATACTATGGGGGACCAATTAGTCATCAAACCTCCCCCACCAAGTATTGTAATCGCTCTTGCCTACATGTTTTCAATATAATTGACTTTCACAATGCTTTCTTTCAATTTGTTTTCAATGATTTTCCTCTCCCATGTTTTCTAAAACATTTTTTCTCAAAACGTAACTCGAGACTCGACCTACGTCCGATTTGTCTACGAAATATGATTTTCATACGGCTGACTTGTTTACCAGGTTAGAACAAGTGTCGTACAATTGATGTCCCGTAGCCGAAAAGAATACAATTGATGTCCCGTTGCCGAAAAGAATACAATTGTGACAAGTGGCATCAGAGTTGCGTTAGCTCCTAGTCCTATTAAAGAATGAAACGATGTCAGCGACTAAACAATCGCTAAGTCACAAGTTCAGATTCTCACTAAGATTGAACATGAGATTTTATTCTTAAAAGAAGAACCCGACACGGTCCGCTTCCTGGAGGAACAAGTTGCAGAACTGAATGAAAGAGTCGGTGGAATTGACGCTATGAGCACTCGCCTGGATGGGTTGGCAATCAAAGAATTGATATTTAGGGTTGACTCCCTAGAAAAAAGGGCTACACAACCGAGTAGCTTAGAATGCGAAGGTAGCTTTGAGAGCTCTGTCACATATATGGAAGAACATGTCGAAATGCTAGATAGTTCACAAAAAAACCATGTTGAAGCTTTTCAACGAGTTTACTAAAGATCTCTCGGCAACAATGGATGCCATGAAGGTAGAGATAGCCAAAATGAATACCTGAGTAAGCTTGGCCATGCGGGCCATAGAAAATCAAACCTCATGTCAAGCTCAGGTTGGGCTTCAAAGGGAATCGGGATGCAAAAGAACTTGAAAATTTCATCTTCAACGTTGAACAATACTTCAAAGCCACAAGGATCTGTTCAGAAAAACTTAAAGTTACCTTGGTCACAATACATCTCACAGACGAGATGCAAAACTATGGTGGTGTTCAAGGCGAATGACTTTCAAAATGGTTCGTGCACCATAAGTTCATGGGAAGACCTCAAGAGAGAGTTGAAGACTCAATTCTTCCATGAGAATGTAGAATTCATAGCAAGGCGCAAAATGCGACAATTGAAACACACGGGAGGAATTAGGGACTATGTCAAGCAATTCTCAACTTTGATGCTAGACATTAGAGATATGTCTAAGAATGACAAAGTACTATGGTTTGTCAAAGTATTGCTACCCTATGGCAAGGACAAAGTTATGTGAACAAAAGGTTCAAGATCTTGCCGCGTTGGCTATTGCAGAGAGACTCCTAGACTTCGAGGACGAAGCCAATTTCTAAAGAAGGAATACACCACCCCCAAACTCTAGGAACAAACCCTATGGGCCAATGAGTTAGAGGAATGAAGGCCCCAATAGACCGAATGGAGGAAACGATAGACCGAATGAGGGAACTATCCAACGATGCCTTTGAATGTCTATTATGTAAGGCCCTCACAAGCTTTCCTATTGCCCCTATTGAGAGGCCTTTTGTGTGCTTCAAGTCTCCATACAAGGAGGTAATGACCAAGAAGCCGAACCAGCGGCAGAGAAAGAAGAGGATCATGACACTCCCGAAATGAGAGCGCTAAAGTTTCTATTGGCCATCCAAAAGAAGGTTGATCCGAAAGAAGTGTTTGAGAAAGGGTTGATGTTTGTTGACAAAATGATAAACTCACGACCTAGCAAAAGCACCTTTGTAGACTCGGGCACGACCCACAACTTTATCGTTGACTATGAAGCTCGCAGATAGGAACTCAAGATAGAGAAGTACCCCAGGAAAATGTAAGCGGTTAATTCAGAAGCCTTTCCTATTGTTAGAGCCTCCAGTCTCTTTGAAATTGGAGACTTGGTTAGGAGAAATTGATTGGGTCGTGGTCTACATGGATGACTTTGATGTGGTACTTAGGATGGACTGCCTTCTTAACACAAAGTCATTTCAATGTCGTTGGCGAAGTGCATAGTGATTACGAATTACAATCCTACCGTAATCCTTGCTAGAATCAAATAGTCGGGCAACAATGATTTTCTCCTTGCAATTAAAGAGAGGGCTCGCCTGAGAAGAGCCCACATTTATTGTCATATCTTTGGTGGAAGATGTAATCACCATTGATCCCATCCCAAGCGAGAGATGTCCTACTTAGTTATGCTGATATAATGTCAGAAAGCTTACCAAAGACATTACCCCCTTGATGGAGCATAGACCACAAAATTGCGCACCTACCTAGGGTCAAACCCCAGCGAACAATGCATATCGGATGGCTCCACCAGAGTTAGCCGAATTGAAGAAGCAGGTTAGACGAGTTACTGGCTGCATGGTCCATTCATCCCGCAAAAGCACCTTATGGGGCCCTTGTGTTATTTTAAAAGAAGAATGATAGAACTTTACATCTGTGCATCGATTACGAGGCCCTAAACAAGGTGACAATGCACAACAAGTACCCATCGCCAATTATATCCAATTTGTTCGACAAGCTCCATGGGGCCAAAAACTTCATGAAGCTGGATTTACATTCGGGATATTACCAAGTGCGTATTCTTGAGGGAGATGAGCCCAAGAAAACTTGTGTAACAAGATATGGGGCATATGAGTTTCGGGTGATGCCCTTTGGCCTGACAAATACCTCAGCTACGTTTTGTACCCTAATGAATTAGCTTTTCCATGAATACTTGGACCAATTCGTCGTAGTATACCTTGACAATATCGTTGTATACAGTGCCATGCTGGAGAAGCACAAGATACACCTGTGCCTTGTTTTTGAAAAACTAAGGTAGAATCAGTTATATATGAAAAAAGAGAAATGCGTCTTCGCCAAAAAGTGCATCAATTTCATTAGGCACGTCAACAAGTGCAGGCAAATAAGCATAGATAGGGACAAGATAAAAGCTATCCAAGAGTAGAAAGTCCCCACTTCGGCAACCGATGTGCAATCCTTCTTAGTATTGACAAATTATTATAGACAGTTCGTCGAAGGGTTTTCACGACGAGTCACCCCATTAACAGAACTGCTGAAAAAAGACCATCCTTGGTTGTGGCAGATGAATGCCAAAAGGCATTCGAAGACTTGAAAGCAACAATGACGAGGGACCCTTTCCTCGACTTGGTCGACGTTTCAAAACCTTTTGAAATAGAAATAGACGCATCTGACTTTGCCCTTGGTGTGTCCTCATCTAGGAGGGCCTCCCCATTGCCTACTTAAGCCAGAAGCTCAATAGCAGAGACAGAGAGAGGAGGTACACAGTATCTAAGAAAAATGTTAGTTGTTGTTCATTCTCTCAAAGTTCGGAGACAACATCTATTGGGACTTCGTAGTGAGAACGGACAACAATGCCATTTGTCACTTTTTTTACCAACTAAAATTGACATCAAAGCAAGCTCGGTGGCAAGAATCATTAGCATAATTCAACTTCAAATTCAAGCATAAAGCGGGAAAGAGAAACCAAGCTTCCAATGCTCTGAGTCGAAAGAGTGAACATGCAGTCCTATGCATGTTAGCCCACATTCATTCTAGTAAGATCGATGGGTCAATGTGAGATATAATACGAGAACACTTACAAAGAGACCCTTCGGCCAAGTCTGTTATTGAGTTAACCAGAGCTGAGAAGACTAGACAGTTCTGGGTTGAAGGAGACCTTCTGCTGGCAAAATGAAACTAACTATATGTCCCAAGAGCGGGAGAGCTACGAAAGAAATTTATCCAAGAATATCACGATACCTTGTGGGTTGGTCATCGAGGATGACAACAAACATATGCCTCAGTGAAAAAATGGTACATTTGGCCAAATATGTGGGATTGACATAGTGCAATATACCAAGACATGCCTCATTTGCCAACAAGACAAAGTTGAAAAGGCTAAGGTCTCAGGACTTCTCGAACCCTTGATAGTGCCAACAAGACCTTGGAAAAGAGTGTTGCTAGACTTCATCACACATCTCCCGAAGGTTGGCGAACATGAAGTCATCTTGGTCATCATCGACCGATTCTCAAAGTATGCTACGTCCGTACCCACAACCAAGATACGCTCGACCGAATTCACAACCCAACTATTCTTTAAAATTGTCGTAAAGTTGTGGGCCATTCCATCGAGCATCATCAGTGACAAAGATGACAGGTTTATCAGGACATTCTAGACATTGTTATTCACGTTCTTGAGGACAACTTTGAATATCTCCTCAAGCTATCACCCCTAGACTGATGGACAGAGTGAACGATTCAACTGTTTGCTGGAAGAATACTTGCGTCATTTCGTTGACGCTCGCCAGAAAATTGATTACAATTGTTAGATGTGGCCCAATTCTGCTTTAATTGACAAAGGAGTTCATAAATTGGGAAGAGCCCCTTCGAAATTGTGAATCCCTGCCCTATATCATTGACCACCGAAAGAATCTTCAAGTCCAAAACTTTACAAGAGAATGGAAGCAGACAACAGACATAGCTCAAGCTTACTTAAGAAACGTTTCCAAACACATGAAGAAATGGGTGGACATGAAGCGTCATCCCCTTCAATTTGGAGTAGGATACCAAGTCCACATCAAACTGAGGCTAGAGTAGAAAGGACTAAAGACTTGTCAGAAAATATGAAGGTCCATTCAAAATTTTTAAGAAAATCGAGTCTACATCTTATAGGTTGATATTACCCACATGAATAAAAATTCATCTAGTAATCCATGTGAGTAACTTGAAAACCTTCCCACCTTGATCCAAACAATGGAAGTTGCAATGTTGTCGCCAGACCTGCCTAAAACAAAAAGACGTCAGGGAAGTTGAAAGGATCCTGACCTACAGAGATAGGAAAGTTGAAAGACTTGTACGTAGGCTTTGAGAATTCCTCGTCAATGGAAGAATCTACCTACAGAAGAAATAAGTTGGGAACGAGCCGAAGACATGGACTCTGCCGCGGTCCATATTGCAGAGTTTGAACATAGTTGATGTCAACCAATTAGGTGGGGAGGATGTCACGGTCATGCTTGTCTAGGACGTGTTGCCTGTGGGCACATGTTTATGTCATGTCAAACCCTTTTACTTGCTTTCACATTGTATTACTTTTTTACTACATTTTTTGTTGTATGATTGTTTGACGAAATCATGTCTTCTCCTACCAGACATGAATCGCCTCAAAAAGTACTATAGGAGGACCCAATAGTCATCAAACCTCTCTGACCAAGTATTGTAACCACTCTTGCCTACATGTTTCAATGCAATTGACTTTCACAATGCTTTCTTTCAACTTGTTTTCATCAATTTCCTCGCTCACGTTTTCTAAGACATTTTCTCTCAAAATGTGGCTCAAGGCTTGACCATACGTCTAAATTGTCCGCAAAATACAATTTTTATACGGCTAACTTGTCCAGTGAGTTAGGACAAGTGCTACACAATCGTCGTCCCATTGCCGAAAAAAGTGCGATTGTGGCGTGATGCATACCCAAAAAAAAGAGAAAAAAAAAAAGAAATGAAGTAATATGGATAAAAATTTATATTCTAATATAATGTTAACAAGTTAATTATAAAATTAGTTCAAATTAGTTCTTTTAATAATTCACTTTTGTTACCAAAAAAAAAAAAAAAAAACAATTTTTTTAGACTACAGCAGAAGCATACTCACAGCTAATATGACATCTAGTTCTTCCATTTTAGGAAGACTCAGACTCATTAATTTATCTGCAATACATATGAGCAATTACTTCAAATCAAGAGACTGAAATTGCAGGAAAAAAGCTTAGTAAATTGAATGGCATGAAAAGTTACCAACAATTTGAAAATTTTGCAAGCGTTGCCTCAATAGGTAATAACTGGCACAAGGTATAGAAGATTGAAAAACATGCAGTCGCGCTAGAAAACTAACCTTGGCTGCAAGAAGTCAATGCATCATGAGCTACTTCCCCTCTAGATTGCGCCAAAGAAACAAGCTAAGCACAATAGAAACGTATGCTTTAGAATATAAGTTGACATTTTCAATCTACAAACTCAAAATTCTAACTAAAACCTGCATTGCAGTAATAAACTCGGTGAACCCAAGATATCCTTGCCGCTTGGAATCTGCAATTGCCCACACCTTTGAACAAAATATTTGAAGGAAATCATTGTCACAAAAAATAAATTTGAGAAGTGAAGACGATCATGATCGTCACATTAAATGAAAATTTTCACGCAACTTTTTCAGAACAACGAGCTATGGTTAAGAGCTATATAACACGAAAGTAACCAGAAATTTCGAAATATAATTCAACTTTGTTCATACTTCAGTAAAATTCCATAAATCATTAACGAGCGATGGCGAAAGAAAAGACCGAAAAACTACAAAAGACAAAGAAATAGAGAAAAACAGAAACGGAAGGCGAACCTGCTTGAGATCTTGCCGAGACAAGCTAGACATGGAAAAGAACTTAATAGCATCATTCCCTGTGATACGCCCGTCTCCATCTGACATTAAACAGCGCAGAAATCAGGAATCGAACATTGACTCGCAACAGAAACAGCTCAAGGGAAAAACAAATAAAGAAATATAGAAGTTGAAAGAAGAAGAAATACCTGAATCGGCGTAATCAAACCATTCCTGATAGATCTTCTGCTGCTCTCGGGAGCAGGAAGCGATAGGATTGGGAACTTCCATTAAGAGAAACAAGAAAACAACGGTTAGCTGCCGTGAATTGGTCCCTCCTCCGGTTGATCTCGTTACAGTTCCAGGCGAACTCCGAGATCATGGAAAAAAGAAGCAATAGGTTGAAGGTGAATGGAATGCAAAACGCAGAAGAATTGGTTCCGTCGTTATCTTCCTTTCAGTTGGTCCCTCGCGTGAGAATGAGAGAGAAGGGAGAAAGAACTGAAACGGAAGCGGAGAGAGAGAGAGCGAGGGAAACGGGTACGGAGGAGTTTTTGTTTTGTTACTCTTTCTTCGGTAACGTTTCATGCCGATGAAGGTGTAAATGTTAATGATGACAAGAAACGATGTCGTTTTCCCTCCAATGGGTCCATGCTTCCATTTTCAATAAAAATTTAGATTTCTATGTACTCTTACATATTTATACCAAAATTAGAGCTTAAAATAACTCCTCCCATGAAAATTATTTGTCTGCTTACCTAACCAATTTTAAATAATTTTTTTTAATTTATTAAAAATTATATTTACGGACCTTTCAAACTACATAAATATTTTAACCTTAAACTACATCAATATGGTTAACAAGAGTATTGATTTGAGATCATTAAAGTCATAAACTGAAGAGAAAGTACTTTAGGGGCATTATGGTCATTTTATACTGATTTTGTAGCTACTTATTCTTGCAAAGTTCCCGTATCCAAATTAATCGAATTTTTTTTTTGGCGGAGAATCAATCTAGAAGGAGATTAAATTTGAGTAAAAAACTAAGAAAGAGTATGGTCTTATTCCTCATAAAGGAAGAAGATGCATGTGCTGCTTCCCTATGCTATTTTTGGCCTCGATTACTTCATAAATCTTGTAGATGGGACATTGGCATCGGCAGTAACTCGAGTTATAAACTTCAAAGTCGATGAAAAATCTGTATTTCTACCAGACAAATTTGTTGTTTGTTGGATGGGTTGGAACATTTTGGAAGGGATTGGAAGAAGGGAATTCACAAAGATTCTCCTGCAACTCTTGGATGGCAGCTCGATTTGGGAAAAGGTGCGCCACTTTCAGCCCTTGATTCCTTTACATAACTCATGTGCAAACCCCTTTAGAAGGTTAAAAGATAGTGGCTGGTGAATCTCCTATTTATAATGGTGGCATTCACCACCATTAAAAAAAGACTCTAAAAACAAACTCCCTCATGTCTATTGGTGATGATTCGAATTTGGGGCCACGTGGACAGTTAGATCTCTACAAATCTAAGCTTTTATTTGGCACGCACAACAATTTACCATTTTTTAATATATTTCCTTTTAAGTTTATACAACTCATTTAAACTTTATGTATATCTTATGGGGTATCTTAAAACGCTAAGGTATTACAACTTTAGCCCCACTTTCATCCAACCCTAAGTTCATGAGTAAAACACCTTTAAGATATTTGCTTCTCAATAAAAGTTTTGAAGACTTAAAAAGCTAACGAGAGAATAAAATAAAATTAGAACAATGATAAATAATAAAATATTGGGTGAAATAACTCTCTAGGTGGCCTTTCATGAACAATCCCACCTTCGAAGCATTGCCACTTATTCTATTGTTGACCCCAAAACATTATGTTACTTCTAAAATTCCATTTCCAATGTATCCTAAGTTTAATTTAAACTTCCCTTATTTCTCTAATTTAGCTAATTTAGAGTATGATCATAAAGAATACATACTTAAAATAATATTCCGAAACTTTATACTTTAAGTAGACAATATTCTCTGCGTCATATTATGGGATGTGGAAGAGAGAAAGGAAACAAAAAAGAAAAATAGTTCTCCAAATAAATCTTTGCTTTTGATTTTCCATAATCTTATCTGTAATTTCTCTTTCTCTCTGTCCGCCGGCACGGTCAAGTAAACAAAAAAATAAAAATAAAAAACAAATAATAAAATATTGAATTCTTGATGGGCATCATCATCGCCACCAGTCGCCGCCGCCATCGGTGGTTCAGAGGCACAAGGCGGTGCGTCGAAGATCATCGGCGCCAAAATCAAGATGATCAGACGGTTGAATGTTAAGATCGAACGGCAGGGGATATTTCCGACGAATCATGGACGAGGAAGCGATGTCGCCGTCGTCGATGACCGAGGACGACGAATCGCAGTCGCTATGGCAATCCTCAGGGACGACGGGCGGCGTGCGTGGGTATCGGCGAGAGGCGGAAGTGGCAGCCGCCGCAGAGGGTGGTCGGGGACCACTGAAGGACTCAACAGTGGAGCTGAGGGTGCTGGGAGTGGGTCTCTGAGGGTTAGTATGGAATCGGCGATCGGGGCAAGGAGGAGGGTAGTCGAAAAAGGAGGTGGGTGTGGGAAGGGGGAAATTGGTTTTAGCTTTGGGGCCGCGGAGGGTTATGGCGGCGTTGTCGTAAGCACGGGCGGCATCCTCGGCGGAATCGAAGGTGCCCAACCAAACTCTGGTCTTCTTCAATGGGTCTCTAATCTCCGCCGCGAATCTCCCCCATGGCCTTCGGCGAACTCCTCTGTATCTCCGTTCCGACCCGGTTATTGGTGCCACACGCACCGCCGCTCTCCCTCNCCTCATCACTACTACGAAGGATGAAGGGCTCAAGATCTAATCCAAAAGGAAAAATTGGAGGGACTATTTCAGAAATGACAGAGCGGAAATGATGAGAGAGAGAGAGAGGCCAAAACTGGAGGCCACCGTCTCCACCTTCTCAGCTTCTTCACCAAAATTAAGTATTTCTTTTTATTTTTTATTTTTTTAAAATTTTAAATTCTCAGTTTTGTATTACGTATTTACCAGTCCGCGTTTGAAGTAAAATTACAAATATACCCTCGCACATGTTTGCCACTCTCATTTCCTTGCCGTTTCTACTTTTGTATTTTGTTTTTGTTTAGGTGTATGATACAAGGTTATTAAAAGAGTTTATAAGTTGGATGTGATGCCTTCATTTTAACACATCCAACTCAACCATGGTCATCTTTCCAAGACATTAAACTACTTTTACCACTAAGTTAAAATGTTAAAATTGGAGCTAAGTATCCTTTATTTTTATGAGTGTTCAAGGAGTAATTGAGGAGAAGACAACAAATACAATAGAGGTTCGAGGAAATTAAGAAAAGTTTACTTCGGGCAAGTTTTTGAAATTGAAGTTTTTAATCGGAGGATTGAAGCTTGTATATTGTCCAAAGTAAGGAATAATCACATAGAAAGTTGTCTAGAATCCGGGAGTTTTGATCTACAAATTGGACGCCCACGTCCCTTAAGAATCTTTCAATTAGCTTGAGGGGAAGAAAAGGAAAGGAAGAAGGTTGGTAAAAACATCTCAAGCCCATAAGTTCCTAAAATGCCCCACTAATAGAGACAGAAAATGAGTTTACTCCGGCAAACAAGTTAGTGTACATACCTGAAGTCATCCATATAAACTTTTAGCTAATATTCCTCGCATTTTCTCTCTCCTATTTTTTGTGTTCATTTATATCGAGTGTGTGCGTTATGGTGCGATCCTAACAACTCGTATCAAAGCTAGGCAAGATTCACTATGATCTGTGAAGATGGAAAGTTCAAAGATTGAAATTGAGAAGTTTGATGAATCTGTTTCAGTTTCTGTAAGATGCAAATTGAAGATTATTTGTACTTGAAAGATCTTCACGAACCCCTGTTGGGGGTGAAGCTAGATACCATGACCATGGAGCAGTGGAAGCTCAAGAATCGGCAGGTCTTAGGGTTGATCCGGTTGATGCTGTCCAGAAACGTGACGTTCAAGATCATCAAGGAGAAGACAATGTCGGACCTGTTGAAGACGTTGTTGAATATATTTGAAAAATCATCGGCTATGAACAAGGTGTATTTGATATGGAGATTGTTCATTCTACAAATGTATGTAGATGGATATGTTGTGGATCATATAAATGAATTCAATATGATTGTAAGTCATCTGAGTTCAATGGATGTTAATTTCAAAGATGAAATTAAAGCATTGATTTTGATGTCATTTTTATCTAAGCCGTTGATATTGTTGTTGCCGCGATCAGCAGTTTCCGTGGATTTGAGAAACTGATGTTTAATGAAATCCGAGATATGGTTCTAAGCAAAAGTATTCACAAACGAGAAATTGGAGATTTATCTAGTAGTGCTCTCAATATTGACCAAAGGGGAAGAAGTAAATCGGAGACCCCAAACAAAAGTTAATCAAAATCAAATAACCGTAAATTTTTTTCAAATAAAAGAAACGTAACGTGTTGAAGTTGTAGAGAAAATAGTCACTTTTGGGCAGAGTGTACAAGACCAAATAGGAAACATAATAAAAAATCAAAGGATAAGGATTCTATAAATTCAGCAGAAGAAATTGGAGATGCTCTAATCCTCAGGATGTACAATCCAATTGAATCCTTGGTTTTGGATTGAGGTGCATCTTTTCGTTTGTCTTCAAATAAAGAACTGTTTCGAAATTTCAAGTCTGAAATTTTTTGAGAAGGCGTATGACAACAAATCTTTAGAAATTGAAGAAAATAAGGATGTCTACATAAAACTCCGGTAAGAAATCAATGAACATTAAAAGAGGTTAGATATATTCCTAGTCTTAAGAACCCGATCTCTATTGATTAGTTGAACAACACAGGTTATGCAGCAGAGTTTGAAAAATGTTTGTGAAAGATTATGTAGGGTGATAGCATAAAATCTAGAACCCTATACACCACTGCAGAGTGTATAAACATGACTGCTGTTATTGAGAGTGCTTCAAATTCAAGTATGACACAATAGACTTGAATGAGAGTGCTTCAAATTCAAGTCTGACACAATAGACTTGGACATATGAGCATCAAAATAATGAAGATACTGGCTCCAAAAGAAGATTTAGAAAGCTTGAAATCTATTGATATGAGTTTCTTGTAGGGTTTTGATAGAAATTACTCAACTAGAAACTTAAACAATTGGAGTTAGTGATGATATTATTGAATAGAACTTTTCTTTTATAGAGTTACAAATAATAAGATAAATAGAAACTAATCACAAATAGAAATAGAAACTGACAACAATTTTTCTAATTGTTATAATTGTTTGTTGTCTGCATCAGTCAAATCTCACATTGTTCGAGGAACCCTAGATGTTGTCGGAGTAAAGGATCGTCAACAAGAACGTTCTAGTGCGTTGTAGATTTTTATCCAAGACTTGTACCATTTGATGATGCCATGTGAATCGCTAGAAACATGTGAAGTGTATGGCTAACCCATTCAATTTTTTTAACAATCCTTCCCTTGAGTTATTCTTCTTTGTCAAAAATTAGTTAAGTTAGAAAAACTTTGTACACCAAATTCTCCCCCAACTTCTAAAATGCTTCTAATTTGAGAGGTTTTGTCAACAAATCAACAAGTTAATTTCGGGTACCACAAAATAATAAAGTAACGGTTTCTTCTTTTGTAAGATCTCTAAGAAAATGAAATCTTAGTACGATGTGTTTGGAACATCCATATAAAACTGGATTTTTGGATAACTTAATAGTTGAAGTATTATCACACATTAGTTTTGTTTCTTTCTATTTAAGAGTGACCAATCTCTTTAAGTATCCTCCTCATCCAAACAGCTTGACATGCACAAACACTAGCAGTAATAAGCTCAGATTCTATTGTTGATAAGGTGAATATAGGCTACTTACTAGAAAACTAAGTTACTGCTTCTCCACTCATCATAAATACATAACCTGAAGCAGTAATAAGCTCAGATTCTATTGTTGATAAGGTGAATATAGGCTACTTACGAGAAAACTAAGTTACTGCTTCTCCACTCATCATAAATACATAACCTGAAGTACTCTTGCTATTTTCCATGTCTCCGACATAGCAACTATCAGTAAATCCAATTAAATCATTAACTCCTCCCTTTCTATAAAATACACCATAATCTATAGTACCTTTCTAGTACCTTAAAACCCTTTTAGCTGTTGTGAAAATGTTGTTGTGTTGGACATGTCATAAAACGACTAATCAAGCTTACACAACAAACATGATGTAACGACCCAGACCCACCGCTAGCAGATATTGTTCTCTTTGAGCTTTCCCTTTCAGGCTTCCCCTCAAGGCTTTAAAACGCGTTTGCTAGGAGAAGGTTTTCACATCCTTATAAATGGTGGTTTGTTCTTCCCCCAACCAATGTGGGACATCACAATCCACCCCCCTTGGGGGCCAGCATCCTCGCTGGCACTCTTTCCTTCCTCCAATCGATGTAGAACCACCCCAAATTCACCCCCCTTTGGGGCCCAACGTCCTTACTGGTACACTGTCTCGTGTCTACCCCCCTTCGGGGAATAGCGAGAAGGCTGACACATCGTCTAGTGTCTGGCTCTTATACCATTTGTAATGACTCAGATCCACTGCTAGCAGATACTATTCTCTTTGGGTTTTCCTTTTCGGGCTTCCCCTCAAGGCTTTATAACGCGTCTGCTAGGGGAAGGTTTCCACACTCTTAAAACTGGTGGTTTGTTCTCTTCCCCCACCAATGGTGGTTTGTTCTCCTCCCCAACCAATGTGGGACATCACAACCAATGTGGACATTAGAACTGAGTAGCATGAGATACATCAGACTTTCTACTATTTGTTTATACGAAGTTACATCTAATTTTGCACCATTTTCATGTTTGCCAATTTTCTGTCTTGGAACAATAGAATCACAAACAGAATTGTAATTCTCTATTTCAAATCGATTTAAAACTTCAGGAGCATACTTTCTTCATGGAACATTAAACTCCAATAATTTTTCATCATCTCCGGTAAATAAAAGATCATTAACATAAATGCTTAAAATAATAATTTTACCTCCCTCTTCCTCTTGATGAAGAGTGTCAGCTAGATGTAACTACTTTTGAATCCTTCCTTGATGAAGTAGGATTCTATTCGACTAAACCAAGTTTTAGGTGTTTGTCTTAATCCGTAGAGAGCCTTTTGGAGTTTGTACATCATTTCCTCACTTCCCTCTTTCTCATCGTCTTTTGGTTGTTCAACAAAAATATCTTCTTTTAACTCACCATATAAAAGTCTTTTGGTTGTTCAACAAAAATATCTTTTGGTTGTTCACCATATAAAAATGCTGATTTGGCATCTAACAAATAGTGTTTCCAACCTTTTTGGGTAGCAAAAGCAATAATCATTGTCACAGTATCAATTTTGGCCACAGGTGCGTACACTTTCGTTTAATCAATTCCATGTTCTTATGATTAGCTTTTTATCACCAATCTTGTTTCTCCAGACTCATTTAACTTAGGTATTATAAATCCATTTCACTCCTAATTTCTTTACTCCAGTCGGTAGAACCACCAAGTTCCATGTTTGATTTTTTTCAATGGATTTGATTTCTTCATCAATAGCCAATCTCCCTTTTGAGTTTTTAGTAGCTTCCTCAACGTTCACATGATCTGAAATTATCAAGAATGCCATATTTTCTTCATCCTCTTCAGATAAGCCTTCACCAAAATTATAATATACTAACTATACAAGTGGATGTCGATTATCTCCTCCCTTATTGTCAAATCTGGTGCATGAGCTACTGGAAAATTGATTTTATCAACTAGTTCAATTGTAACCGATTCAGTCGTTTTCTCCGTGATTTCTCCTTCATCGTTTTTCAGCAACTGGTCCAATTGTTTCAACAATCGATTTAGTTGTTTCCTCCATGATTTCTTCTTCTTCGGCTGTGTTTTCATTAATTTCAATATTTTTCTAGTCCAATTT